CAACAGTTGCTGTACGCTTAGTCTGGTGAAGAACTGAGGCAACAGTTCTTCACTCCTAAGGGGTTAAATCTTTTTACCAGACTCGTTTCTTTAACGAATCATCTTCTCCAAAAGGTCAAAGTTCACGGGGTCAGCTCCTGAGTTCTTCAGAGTCAGATCCAGGACAAGTCGTGTCAGAGGACGCATTTCAAGAGAACTGATCAAATGAATATTGATCTCCGCTCCTGTCGTTTGATAACTGATCGATCTGTTCAGCTCCCAACTCCTCAGTTGTTGCTTCAGTGGTCCACGTCTCCAAACGTTCGGCTCCTCCAGACTCTGACTTCTGCTTTGTGATCAGGTTGTACTTTTTGAAACGTGTAGCTCTGTCGGCCATGTTTCCCTAAAATGATGATGTGTCTTCACAAGCTTCAAACCTAAAGCTGTGTCTGATCATTTCAGCTGTTCTTTCTGACTTTCAGCTGATTTTCAGTCTTTATTGTTTCTAAGTTTAGCCTTGATTTCAGCTTTTTTATTTTATTTTTAGCCTTTTCTTTTTCATCTAATGTTAGTTTTCTTGTGGTTACGTTTTCAGCTTCTCTCTGTTTCAGCTGGTGGTGGTGAGATGATGTTCCCCCCTCCCACTCTGTGCACCAGGTGTTGATTGGTGGGCGTGGCAGCACATTTGGCAGGTGGCTGCTACAGGTGTGTCTTTGCTCCTCCTGCTGCTCGTCAGCTGCTTGTGTGGCTGCTTTCTTTGATTCTGCTCATCTGACATTTAAGTGCAGTTTAATCTAATCTGAGTGTCTGGGATGTGGTTGGTGCTACACCTGCTGTGTTTCTGCAGAGTTGCTGCTGGTGTTACTGGCTGCACTGGTGTTACTGGCTGCAGCTGGAGCCCTCTGCAGTGCACGGCTGTCTTCTTCTGACCTGCTGCTCATTCCTCTGGTAGACTGCGCTCCTGCTCCTCGTGCCTGCCATTTAGATCTCACTGGCATTTGACTTGAATCCATTCCACCTTTATTTCTCCAGGTAGATCCCACTGAGCCTCGAGGACTCATTGACAAGAGAGACCCGCTTTAACAAAGAGTGATGACAACAATGGACAACAACAACAACAACAACAATAAACAGTTATAAAAAGTCATGCAGATTTTATTTTTTTACAAATAAGAAGGCTAAAAAAAGAAAAGTAACAAAAACAGCTGGATTCTAAGGTGAATGTAGAAAACTAAAAGCAGGAACATGTCTGCATCGGTCCCTGCCAGGAGTCCAACAGGTTCTTAAAGACACTTAGAGAGGTCAAAGGTCGAGATCAAGGTCGAGAGCTTCAGATCTTGTTGCAAGATGTTCAGAATAATCCAGAACTAACGTGCTTTTTATTTTTAGGCACGTGGCTGAGCTGTGCGCTGCTGTGCACAGGGACGCGCAGTCTTGTCTTGTCCTGGGTGGAGACAACGGAGTTTGAGCTGCTCCTCCACTGAAATTGTTGCTGCTGTTTTTACAGTTGGACAGTTGGACATTTGGACAGTGCACGTGTCTCTCTGCCCTGTTGTAATGTGACACTGGACATTAACAGTTTGTCCCATCTGTAGTGCATTGATTGTTGTTGTTGTTGTTGTTGTTGTTGTTGTTGTTGTTGTTGTTGTGGACTCAAATATCTGCTTACCTCCATGCTCACTTTGTCCTCAGGGACTGGAGGCCTGAAAGCTGTTTATTGAGCTGTTGTTTTTTTGTAATTTGTAAAAATATTTTAATAAAGTCTGTCAAGGTGTATTCTTCTGAACCTGTGGTGTTTTAAGTTGTTGCCCCCCCCCCCCCCCCCCGTGTTTTAACTAACCCCCCCACTGGTCCCATTATTCTAATTTCTGCTACAGTCAGCTTTTTATTTATTCTTTTAAACTTAACTTCAGCTGATTGAGTTCGGCTCATATATAAACTGGTCAAAGATTTTCACAGCATTTAAATGATTATTTTATAATTTAAGAGCGCGCGCCCCCTGCAGGTGAAACATGTTCCAACAAGTAAGGTTTAATTTTTTCATTGTTCACCCACTGAACCCCCAGAGTCTGGGTCTAGGTTTAACTGGACCAGGACTTTAAGGTCAGACCTGCAGTTTGGAAACCAAAATAAATCAATTTAAATCTGCAGTTCTTGTCGCTGTCGATTTCTACAGCACGTGAAAAGATTAAATCTGACAAACACTTTGCAGCTGAGACACATTAAAGAGTAAAAAATGCATTTTGTGCTGCTCAGAACGGTTAAAATGTAAAGAACCAGCTCTAACTGGAGTCTAGATGTTAAGATCACGTAAATATGACGGGGCCAGACCTTAAAAGACTTTAAAGCAAGAAATAAAATCTTAACCCTGAAGTGGACAGGAGTCCATGTTGCTGTGAAAAGACGAGGTCCTTCGTTCTGGACGGTTTGTAAACGATAATGATTTATCTAAACCAACGTACAATGAATTACTGTTGTCCAAACGAGAAATTAAAGCATGAATCACCTTTTCAAGGTCTCTGAGGGGAAGACTTGACCTTTGGCAATGAGCAGGAACAATCTGCATTTCTGTTTATTTTAAAAGTGTCCTGATGCTGCTCAATAATTCAGGTAGAAAAATCTAAAAACTAAAATAAGTCTGGTCCTCTGGACATTCAACAAACAAAATGTAGAAACGTTTCGTCTCTCATCCTGAGGACTTCCTCAGTCTGAGGTGCTGTATTCAGCTCAGTCTCTTAAATAGCACCTTCTCAGGGTGGATCAACCAGTTTGCTGCTGACAACCAGAACCAGCTGATCACATGCTCAAGAAGGACCATCAGCCTAACAATGGATCATTAGCACCTGATGGCTGTTTACTATTCACAGAGGGCTGAGTGATACTAGCAATCACAGCATTGTAAGAGGGGGACAGTTGAACCTGGAGGCTCCACCCCTGTTTAATGATGGACGGTTTATTTTCACAAAGATGGCCTCCTTTACTCCTCTCTCAAACCATCGTTCCTCTCTGTCCAGGATGTGAACATCTTCATCCTTGAAAGAGTGACCGCTGGCCTGGAGATGAGTGTAGACCAGCAAACTGGTTGATCCACTCTGAGAAGGTGCTATTTAAGAGACTGAGCTGAACACAGCACCTCAGACTGAAGAAGTCTCTCGGATGAGAGACGAAACGTTTCTACTTTTTGTTTGTTGAATGTCCAGAGGACCAGACTTAACTTTTTTAGATATTTTAAAAGTACTGTCAAAAATAACTCCCAGGTTCCTGACAGTGGTTGTATGAAGCCAAGAGTGTCAGGGGTGTTCTCTTTACCGAAGCTGGTAACTTCAGTTTTCATTTACATTCAGAAAATTTAGATTTAGTCAGACTTTAATGTCGTTTAGACAGTTCAAGAGAGGGTCAGTGGGGTGACCCTGTCTGACTTGATGGGCAGATACAACTGAGTAT